GAGTTTCTATTAGATATAAGATGCGATGTACTTGGTCCCTAGACACTAAACATTAATGATATTATGTTCTGAGATGGGTTAGGTGTCTTACCTTAGGGTTAGATGTGACTGGCTTCTATTTCTTCATTTTAACTCTCTCTTTTCATTCTTCTTGGCCATCTTGAGCTAAAGATAGGAATGCTCCCTTTTCTTTGTTCTTCAGTTGTCTATCAATTTTCATGATCATGTGTATCATGTACTCCAACTCCATGTAATGTTGCAACTTCATGACATTAGCAATTTCCTTGTTAAGACCTTTTTAGAATCTTCTAATGATTGTTTAAGGATCTTTTTATAATGGCTCCAACTATAGTCATCTCCATCTCCTTGTGATAGTCATTAATGGATATAGACCTCTACATCAAGTGTTGCAATTTTTGATGAATTTTTCTATAATAATAAAAAGGTACGAACCTTTTATATATAATGACCATTATCACTCTCTAGATGGAGACTAGTTGTTCCTTGTTACACCACCTAGTGAAGAGTAGTTGAGTTGATGACACCAAGGTATAATCAATGAACTCTATAGCTGCTAGTTTGATTTTCTTTTCTATGCTATAGTCGTGTCAATCAAAGACCAGCTCTACTTTCCTCTCCTATTCTAGGTAAGCTTTAGTATTATTCTTACTTTTGAAGGGTAGTATCTTCATTTTGATGGAGTTTATGTTACTAACCCTTTTATTTTCTCTCCCTTCTACCCAATCTTTTTCTTCATCATTGCAGGACCTGACCTCATCTTTAGAAATTCGGGTTCTTGGTCATCTTGTGTTAATCGTCTTGAACCTAACTTTACTTCAACAATTCCTCATGTATATTACCACCTTATTGATTTATGTAAGTTCCGCTTACATAGCCTCTATAAGGAGCCTCATATTTGGGGGGCTATGATTTTCATTAAACATTTTTAGAAAAGTACTTGCAAGAAGAAGAGGTTAGAAAAAAAAATTTCCTTACTAGGTCTCTTGTGTTTCACTCACTTGGCTTTTATCCTCTGATGATCTCACCCACTCTTATCTTTTACCACTTAATCTTTCACCTGCAAGTTGAATACCAAATAGGGTCTTCTTGAATAAAGATATTCAAATATTATTTTTAGGACACTACAAGGAGCCCCATGAAGAAAAAACTACTACACAATTACTACAAACAAGAGTTTTAACACACAGAGGAAATAGTAAGTGTGTTATATATTATATACTAAGCATTAGGATACAAATTGGATGCTTAGATGCATTTTGAAACTAGAGCTTAAAGAAGGAAATAAACTGATAATGGAAAAAAGATAATTATGAAGAATGATGTATGGATTTAGGTTTTCCCTTAAGGAGGAAAACCAAAGATGTCCTTAAAATTATATTCCCGATATACATTACGCTCTATAACGAAGATGAAGTCTTGTGCTTAGTGAGATATATAAGTATATATGCACCTTGATTTTTAGGTGAAAAACAAAAGAAAAAACACTTTGGTTTATGGTCATGAAGAGATTGGTCATGCATTGTTGTAAAGAAAGATAGTTGAGCATTAAAGGTGAGTACTTTCCTTATTAATGTATTGAGTGATAAGGATTTCTGTCATCTATTTCTTTTTTTTCTTTCTCCTCTTTTGTTTTCTTTCTTTTTTTTTTACTAAATTGGAAACATAATCACAAAAAGAAAAGAAATTCAAATAATGGTGATGATGATGTTTAGCTCAATAGGAAAGGAACAACTGAAGAAAGCCTCAAATTGTCACTTTTTGATTAGGTCGATGTATGTATAGAGATATCTTTTTTTGTATAGATGATGAAAATAATGCAAGAAAGTAAACACAATTGTAAAGGATAGTAAAATTTAGGAGCCTAAATTCTAATATTAAATGATGCAGAATCTAGGATCAACGATGTAATCAAGAACTCACACAAAGCTCGTTATGACACCAAAGACTTAAAGCTTATAAAAATCTCTCTATTTAATCTATTATCAATAAAGTGATAGGAACTAAGATTATTAAGAAATTAAAAGATGAAAAAAAGCCACAAGAATACCTTAATAAGTTGATCAAATCCTTTCTCTACAAGAAGGTTGAAAAAATCTCAATGGTTGAAAAATAACTCTTTAATTTTATTGATGTAAACTTGAACGAATAAAATTATGAATTAATGGTCTACTTATAGTGTAAACCATGTGAATAATAAGGAAAATGATATCCTAATTTAATGATAAAATTACATAAGAAATTAAATTTAGTGTAGAATATGAAATTTGCAATAATTAAGAGGATTATTTTCTAGAATATGATAGATATGATCTCCCATTTTAAATAAAAAAAATTTAATTAATAGTGGCTGATTTAGAGGGAGAAAATCTGGAAAATTAGGGTCGACCATTAAAGGTCCCATAATGGCCACCCAAGTGCTTTCCTTTTTCCACAAGATTTGGTATTTAAAGAGTTTTCTTCTTTTCTCTCTCCCTCCCCCACCCCCCACCCCCTAGGGGGAAGGTTCTCCATGGGATTCAGAAATAAAATCCCATGGAAAACCTCTCCATTCATGGTTTGGTTGATTTCCTCCTTGTAGCGAAATTTCTTTCCTTTTTGTTTTCCCTCTTGCATGTGGAAGGAGTTATATATATCATTATACCTTTGGGTTAATGACCTTATTGTCTTCTTTTCTTGGGCTTCTCAATTGGATTTAAGACCATCTTCCTCATTGATTCATGCTATAAAGAGTTGAAAGGCTTGTTGTAGCCTTTTTGTTTTTCCTCTTGTAATGGATCCACTTGGCATTGTGATACTTTTTTCAAGTGAGCGAAGTCCACCCAAGTTGTGTAGTGCTCCTTTGAATCCTCCTTGGCCAACGTCTTCTCCTTTAGATTGGGCTTTGCCGCAGGTTGGCTCCTCATGGTCGCTATCTTCTTCATGTTTCCTTTTTTAGCTGCTAACTTGTCCATTATCTTGGGTTTGGCCACCACTCATCTTCTGTTAGTTGTCCCTTTCATTATCCATGTCCATACTCACATCAATTTGTTTGGAGATTAAGTTTGTATGTTGAATTATATGTTGGAGTTTCTGATCATATTAATTGATCCTTAATTTCCTATCAAGGTTATTGGATGATTGACTCCCTAATATTTATTAAATAAAATCACAATTGGGATAATGAATCTTGATAAAAGAATAAAACATTAGAAAATATGCAATTAACATATTGACATGCTCACTTTAGTCCATATCATAAAGAGTACACTATTTGAACTCACTAGTTCTTAGCACAACTATGACACCAACATATATAAGAGTGGCATCTATCCACATTTGAATTATAGAAAAGCAATAATATATTAGCTTTTGATGGCTAAAATCCATGATTGAGCATATTTTGGGGCTTAGTTTCATGTTGGAGCTTGGCTAAACTTATCTAGATATGGTTATGTGTTGTTTAACTCTTAATGGCTGCATTTTGCTACCATTTATCAGTAAACCGTTTCTTTACCTCCAAATAACAATAATAATAATAATATTATTATTATTATTATTAGTTTTTTAATTTCTTGTTTAAAATTGATCTGATTGAGTTTATTCTGTTAACTTTTTTTTATTTTGAAATGTGCATTCAGTTCAATTAATCAGTTTAGCG